GGCGGGCGCTGCAACCGCGGCGACTGGGGTTGAGGGCGGACGGCCAAAAGGCAAGGGCGCCGCGCTGTCGAGCCGCGAGGGGTCGAGCGAGCCGCCGCTGGCGCCGGCGACGCCGGCGAAGCGGGCGGTGGAGGCGCCCGCTGCGGCGGCGCCGGCGCCGGCGGCGGGCGCGGCGGGCGCGCGCCGTTCACAGAGGCAGAGGCGCCTGTGAGCGCGGCGAGCACGCCGTGCGCCTGGCCTCCCCTCTGGCACTTTTTTGTGTGGCAAGCAACGATATTCACCAACCCCCTGGCTCATGGCACCGTGTCTGGTTGTTGTCCAATCACATTTGTGTGCGCGCCCAACACACTCTCAGCACCTGCCTTATAAAGGGGGCCTCGACAATCCCGCCGTTTCGCGAGCCGCGGGATGCCTGCCGCCACCCGCTGTCTTGGCGAACCGGCCTTTGGTGCGATTGGAGGCGGTGCTGTTGAAACGCACGGCGCTGACCGCACATGGTCGTCCTGGGGCTTTGCTCTCGGGCCAGTGACCGCCTGGCTGCCGGGGCCTCCTGGCTGTGCTGACAGTGACTGGTGACCAAAAGACTCCGGCCGTGGAACCGGCTTTGGCATTGACCTCGACACTGACTTGTGACTGACTTCTCTCGTGACCATCGCCATTGGTTTGACTGTTGACTTTGACTCATCACCACGAGACTTGACCCCTTGACACCCATGACTTACATGACAAACATGACTCACATGACTCTAACGACACACTCCACACTTGACCTTTGATGCGCGGGGTCCGCACCCGTGCATGCAACGCACATGGGTCGGCATGAAGCCAACACACAGAGCCGTCGCTGTGCAGGCGCCCCGCATGCATGTGCAGGGGGCCTGGCCCCCTAACATTCTCACTGGTTCTGTCCTGCATGGTTGGCCTGTCAGCCCCAACGAACCATCTTATCTGTCGCCTGTGGGTCACTCGACCGAGGATGGCGCCTTTTGACCTCTGAGTCCGCTTCTCTCACCCTGTTCCTGTGTACTTTGGTTGTTCCCAGACATTCTGCACTGCACCCCCCCTCATCTGATGTAACATCACTGCTTCATCGACTGTCCTAGGGCCTGCATACAGCCAGCAGATACGTGCATGTACTGAGTGGCGCTGGCGCAGGCACGGCAATGTGAGCCTGTGTTGCTGGTGGCATGATGATCGTGATCGCCTGCTGACAGGCCTGGCTGCCTTGGGCTGTTGCGAACGAGGCACCGAGGTGAGACTGGTGTTGACCGCACCTGACCATTTCAGGCAGGGTGTAACGGTAGGCTGCTGCATCCATGTATACACGATAGTTGATACAGGTTTCTTACTTGTCATTGCCTGGATGAGGTCGCGGTCGCTGCCGAACGCGGCCTGCGCATCCACGAAGAGGGCATTCAGGTCATTGTTTCGTCGATTGGGTTGTTGGCGACGAAAATTATACCCGCCTGTGCTGGCGGCGCCCATGTGGGGCCAGGAGTGGGAGGCGGCCCTGAAAAATGGAGCCCAGCCCGATGCAGGCAGCAAGTCGCCGCCATGGGAGGAAGCCCTCGCGACGCCGCACCCCGCCAGCGCAAGCCGCGCAGAAGCAGAGCAATGGGCGGCCGCTTTGGGATCCTCGCATCTTTCAGGACCGCACCTGGTCGCCGCCATTGAGTGCGGGTGAGCAGCTTCTGAAGCGGGGCAGCACTGCTGGGAGTGTTGCCGGTGCTGCTGCGACACGGCAAGCAAGAGGCGCACACCCAGTTTGCCTTACGCCATGCTCTCATGGGCCATGCGGGATTCCGTGCAGCAGGCCGACGTGCCCAGAGCCGATGGATGCTGCCGCCGCCCCAACCGCATCTCGCCGCAGGTCTCATTCGACGCGCCTTCTCATAACCGATGGCCGCCACGATCTGGAGCGGATTACAATAGACACATGCCTAGGATCTGCAGACGCATCAGATTCGACCGCCCCTGCCCCGTTTGGCGCCGAGACGCTCGCGGCGCTCGCAAGTTTCGCGCCGCTGCTGCGCCGCACGGGCGGCGGCGGCGTCGAGAGGGTGCGGGCGGTCGGGACGGCGGCGCTGCGGGCCGCGCCGCCGGCCGCGGCGGGGGGCTTCTTGGCGGCGGCGCGGGAGGCGCTGGGGCATCCAGTAGAGGTGCTCTCAGGTGGGCTGCCATGGACGCGCACTGGCTGGCCGCTTGAGAGTTGCAGGTCCAATATGTTTGTGATCCAGGGCGACCAGGAAACTGTGTGTGGTCTCCTGCAGGGTCTCCCATCAGCGGCACCTCATGGGCTCTTTCTGACTGTCTGTTGCTCCCCACTACACAGCCGCCCGTGGCCTCTCTCTCCACCCCCTCAGGGCAGGAAGAAGGGGCCCTCGCCTTTGCGGGAGCCACCAGCAGCCTGGACCCCGGCCAGCCCTGCCTGCTGATCGACCTGGGCGGCCGCTCCACAGAGCTCTGCTACGGTGAGGCACGCCTCGTCAGCGGGTGCTGAGTCAGCATGTGATGAGTCAGCAAGCGGTGCAGCTGTCGCGCGACGCACTGCAGGGCGCAGAACGGCGGGGCGGCCTGTGGTATCGCACCCCTCAGCAGGCCGGTCTGCGGCTACGACTGACTTGGCGACGCCGCGCCAACCGCCCCCGCCCGCGCCTCTGTGACCAACGCGCCCGCAGGGCTCGCCGGCACCCAGCAGCCGGAGTGGGTCGCGTCAATGCCGCTGGGCTGCCTCTCAGTGCAACGCGCCGCCGGCGACCCTAGCGGCTGGACGTCGGCCGCCGAAGCCGCGCTGCGGCTGCACGGCGGCGCCGCCGCGGCGCGGCTGCGGGCGGCGGCTGCGCCGGGGCCGGCGGGCGGACCAGGCACGGGCGCGGGGCGCCTGCTGCTGGTGGCGACGGGTGGGACTGTCACGAGCGCCGAGGCGCTGGCGCTGCGGTTGCCGCGGTATGAGCACGCGCGGGTGCACATGGCGCGGCTAGGGGTGGCGCAGCTGCTCGCCATTGCAGAGGAGCTGGCAGATAAAGAGGCACAGGCGAGGTGCGATGGAAGTTGGGGGGGGGGTGCTGCTCAATCCCTCCTGTTCTGGCGGCGGGCGTGCGTAATGGAGGGCCCAGGGCGCCGGGGTTGCCCAAGTTGGGTGCTCACCACGCCAGCACGCGCGGCAAGCCGTTTGGGTGGCGGCCCGCAGCGCCTTGCCTAGCAGATGCGCGTGAGGTGGGTCGATGTGTCGTGCTCTGGCAAACGACCACCATCCTCCGTCTACTGCGCGCCCTCTCGCACTACAGGGCCATGGGGGCGCTCCCCTGGCTGACCCCCGAGCGCGCCGCGTCGCTCGGCCCCGGCTGCGCCGCGCTGGCGGCGGCCGCGCTGTGGGTGGAGCGGCAGTGGGACGGCCCGGAGGGCGGCGGCGGCGAGGGTGGCGGCAGTGGCGATGCAGGCGGTGTGCTGGTGGTGTCTGACAGAGACCTGTTGGACGGGCTGGCACTGCAGCTGCTCGAGGGCGGTTGAGGCGCGTGCGTGACGCCATGTTGTGGGCATGTCTGTGCACACTGCCGGTCCACGGGCTGCTTGGTGCGCAGCTTGGGCGCTGCTTGGGCGAGTCCTGCCCTGCAAGCCCTGGCGTCTACTGGCTAGCCGCCGCCGGCTGTGGCGACCCTGCCGCATGTGTGTCGGGCGCTGTGCGGCCGCCATCCCCTCCCCTTGTGTGGCCCGCTTTCTCACACCAGGCAACCCATGAGCAACCTGCACAGTTACATGAAACAAGAAGAAATAAACAAACGAAGAGGGCAAACTGGTGTGTCGTAGTTGGTGAAAGCAGATGTGTCATGAACTTTTCGAGCCAAACACCAATGGCACCCACACGCCCGAGGCAACCACCCGGCATCCACAACCGCAAGCTGTGTGGCACCAGGGCTTGTGAGGGCTGAAGGGCGGTCGCGCTTCTTTGTGGATGGCCCCTGCCGCGGCCCTCGCCTTCGACGGGTCGGGCGCCAGCGGCAGCAGCAGCGGTGCATGCAGGCGGGGCGCGCTCGATTGAACGGCGGGCTGTGACCGCGTTGGGGGCGGGGCGGCTACAACACGACATCGATGAAGGCCATGACCGTGATGGCCACCAGGGTGATGAGCGTGATGACGGCCAGGGTGATGGGGCCGACGGTGTCGTCAAAGAAGCCGACCTGGCAGGGTGACGGGGGGAGAGGGGGCGGGCGTGAGGTGGCTTGAGTGGAAGGGCATCAGGGGCAAGGTGACATAGCATGCGCGCGCGCCGCGTCCAGGAGCCTGTTGAATCCCTCTAACAGCAAAAAATCCCGTTCATGAGATCCAAAAGCAATGCTAAGCCCATGCCGTGCCACGTAAGCACATGCAAATCAAGTCCCCATGCGATCGAGGCGCCGCGCCCGAGCCCACGCCCTGGCAGCGTCGTCCACGGCCGCCGGCCGCCCCCCGGCGAGCGCGCGCCCCCGGCAGCTGCCCACCTGCTTCTTCCGCATGAAGCTGCTGCGCGAGTTGTACATGAACAGCGCATACGCGACCATCAGGATGGCCAGAGGGACGTACACCGCAGACACCATGTCGACCGTCCGCGCGCTGATGACACGGCCCTCGGTGCCGCCGGAGCGCGAGAAGGTCAGGCCCACCATCGCCGACGACACACCGCCCATGGTGGTCGCCATGCTGCACCACGAAAGGAACGTGCGCTCGTTGGCTGCGGGGCGCGGGGCGGCCAGCGGGGGTTTGGGTGTGAAGCAGGCAGGTTTGTAGCGGCTGCTGCGGGCAGCGCTGGCTGGGGTCCGGGCGCGCTAGGGGTCTGCTGTGCAGCAGCTTACCGAAGAAGGACTTGGGCTCTACCCGCATGGGAACCTTGCGGGGCAGCTGCAGCTCGGCGCCCACGGTGTGGTACCGGGTGCCGAAGAGGGAGTCCATGACTGCACGCGCGGAGGGGAGCGTGACGGGGCCACAATGTCGGGCAACGTTGCTGAGCGAGGCTCGGCACTATGGCGGCATGATGCCTGGTGTCTGCTGACCGCACGCGGATGCCGCAGGGGCGGCTGTGCACGTGCTGTCTGTCGGCGGGCACCCCCAGATGCAGCGGCGCCAGTGACTCGATCTGACTCTGCTGCCTGCTTGGCCGGGTCGGCATACCTTGGGTTGCCATTCTGCCACAATTATCAGCCCGCGACGGGCTTGGTTCTGTGGGCCGCGCCCTCCTGCAGGGCTTGCACTGCTGGGGTCCCGCTGCAATGTGCGTTCCTCGCTCTGCAACTTTACAAGTGAAAGGTGGTCAAAACCTCTGCAGATAGCGCCCTACGTGTCAGGGCTAGGGGTCGCCCTTGCAAAGATGCCCTTTGACGATCTGATGCCCGAGTGACCAGCGCGCAGGCCGCCGTAACTTTATGACGGAAAGCTTGTGCGTCGCGGCGTCGGGGAAACTTGGGCATGTGACCAGAGACGCGCGAAGTAGAGGGGCGGTGACGAAGACGGCAGTTCTGTTGCCCGCAGCTTCCGGTGTTCTCACCGGTGGATTCGTTTCGATGTCTCCCAGTTGCACAGGCGCATTTTGCAGCATCCTGCAGTGTCTCCGCGTCTTTGACTTCTGCATCAGCCTTGCTCACACTGACTTGGTTGGTTCGTTCACTTCGATCGAGGTGCAACGCGCTATTTGAGCCTGTGCATCCGGACCGCTTGCACGCATCCAGCCCAAGGCCCGCAAACGCAGCTTGCCGCAGCCCGCCCAGGTGGCGCCGGCGCTCGCGCCTGCCGCGCCGTCCCAAGCAGCAGCAGCGCCGCTGTAGCACCGTCCCACGCGCACGAGCGTTGAGCCGCCAGCGGTGGCGCCCCGGGCCCTGGTGTACCGCGGATCCCCCTGCCGCCGCCCCGGCACGCCGTGCTACGGCCGCTGACTTGGACATGGGGGGCGTCCTGCGGACCCTGCGCCGCGTCAACGCCCACACCTGCCAGCGGCGGCGGGAGGTGCTCGACACGCGGCAGCCGCAGCGCGAGTTCCTCGGGCCGGACGGTTCCATAGCATACTTCAAGAATGCGCAGGTGGGGGCGGGCGCGGTGGCAGGCGAGTTGTTGCGCTCGCATGCGTCGTCTCGCGCTTGCGCATGCCTCGTGTCTGCACAAATCCAAGCGGGCGCCGCATTTTGGCGCGCATGTAGACGCAAAGCGCAGTTCGAGGGTGTGCTGCGCAGCGTCCCAAATGCGCACGAGCTGCTTCACCAATAAACCGGACCAGCCCAGTTGATGCCTGAGCAGGAGCGGCGCAAGCAAGGTGGTGCATGCTTGCCTGCATGCGGGCGCATGCTGGCAAGGCCGCGAATCGCATGCAGGCACGCACGCACATGCTCATGCACACCAACGCCCATGTACACTCCCCAGGGTTATGAGATCGCATCTTACTACTGGCCTGCCAAGACTGCCACCCCCAAAGGCATCATCATCATAGTGCACGGCCAGGGTGCGCCGCATGGCATGCGCAGAGGCAACTTGGGCATGGCAGCATGGCATGCTCCTAAGCCAACAGCGGTAGCGGGAGGCAGCCGCGGCTGCAGTCGCAGTTGCACAGGGCTGACGCACCCCCGTGGTGGCGGCCGCGTGGGGCCATCATCACCCCACAAGTGGGGGTTGGCTGGCGTCGCTACGGGCCAGCAGGAGCGCCTGACGCAATGCAGCGCAGCGGGCGCCTTCAGGTGTCCTGCGCGGCCCGCTGCCCCCCTGGCCCCTGCCCACACGGGGTTGGACGCCCTGATGCGCTGTGTGAAAATTGGGTGCAAACACCCTGGATCAACACCACCCATTCCCGCAGGGGCATACCTGGTTTATGAGTACTGCCGTACTGTCGGCGTGGGCAACCCCAAGCGCTACGACGGCAGCTGGGTCCAGATGATGAACGACGCCGGGTACAGCGTCGCGGGTGAGGGATCACGCGCGGCAGCTTTTTGATTTGGCCGCCTGGGGACAGGGCCTCGTCTTGGTTTGCGGGGCAGCCTGCCGCCTGGACTGGTGTTTTGGGGAAATGGGGTCGGCGCGGTGCGCCATCACTCAGTGCATGTACGCCTCCTCCCACTCATACACCCCAAAACATTGCCGCCCAATACCCGCACTGGCATGCGATGCACCTTTAAAGCGCATCGCTCACCCGCCACGTGCTCCCTCCCTGGCACCCCCCCTTTGCCCTGCGCTCCCAAGGCATTGACAACCAGGGCACCGGCCGCAGCGGCGGCCTGTTTGGATATGTGGAAGACTTCCGCCACTTTGTCGACGACCTGCTGCAGCTGTGCAAGACGCTTCAGGCCTCGGGGGCGCCCCAGGGCTTCGGGCCCGGGCTGCCGCTGTTCGGGCTGGGCGCGTCGCTGGGCGGCTGCATTGCTCTGCAGGCGTCGATGCGGCAGGTGCGGAGGGGCGGCGCAAAAGAAGGGGGGGAGGGTGCGGACGGGCGGCGAGCTGTGAGCAAGGGCGCATGATGTTCGTGTGTGTGGGCAGGCACTTGCCGCCTGCTGTCGGTGAAACGGTCGCGCTGGCCTCTAGATCAATGCGGAGGCCCACTTTCTGAGGCATGCCGCCCAGTTGCTTGTGCACTTGCTCCACGAGCGCCACCCACGCGCCCGCTCGCGGCTCTGCGCCCCCTTCCCCTGCGCAGCCGTCCCTGTTCCAGGGCCTGGTGCTGCTGGCGCCGATGCTGTCGCTGGAGCGCGTCAAGCGGAGGGGCGCAAACTGGCTGCTGCTGTGAGCGCGGGGTTTGCGGTCTGGGGTGGACTTGGGGCCGGGGTGGCATGCGGTCGGGGCTCACCCTGGCATAAGTCAGCCGAGCTGCGGGTGCCAGGCGGCCCTGCCCTTTGTCCCTGTTGCCTCACCATTCCTGCCGACTCAGCATCTCAGACGCAGCTGCCTGGGTCCCGGGCGCCCCAACCCTCCCCGCTGCAAATCCCCCTGCCCCCAACACACACACCGCAGGCCCATCAGCCACGTGCTGAGCGCGCTGGTGCCCACCTGGCCGATCGTGGCCACCCCGAAGAACCACACGTACCCAGAGCTCCAGGCCGACTGGTAGGGCCAGATCGTGGTCCCCTCTGAGGGGCCGCTCGTGACACACACTGGGCTGTCCCCAGGACAGCGACGCAGGCCGTCCGCGTCGCCGTGCCCGCTGCGTCGGTGGCTCGTGCCGCTTGGTCGTGCCCTGGTTGCTCCGCTCAAACTCGCCACCGCCCGCCTTGCCACAGCTTGCCTGGTGTGATTCAATCCACCTGTACACAAAGCGCCCGCGCGGACCGCCACGCTCTCCCCGCACCGGCGCCGCAGGGACACGGACCCAGTGTCTTACCACTACCCCACGCGCGTGCGCATCGCGTGCCAGCTGCTGGCCGCCTGCGACTGGCTGGCGCCGCGCATGGAGAGCGTGTCGACGCCCCTCATCATCTTCCACTCGGAGAACGACACGTGAGGGAGGGGGCGCCGGCGGCCCCAAGGGTCGTCACAGCGCGCGTCACGCGCGGTCGCGGCTGCACCTAATCACTGGCTGTGGATTCGTCGCTGTATTGCTTGCGAGCAAGTGGGCACGCATTTTCGCAACACGCACGCATTTAAGCTGTTGAATCCGTGCGCATCGCGCTCTTGGCTGTTGATGCGCTCGCACACTTGCGTCCGCACCCGCATATGCACGCGAGCACCCACCCATGCACACGCTCGCATGCGCACGCCCGCTGATCGCCTCTCCCCTCCTTCTCGCTGTTGCCGCCCCCATGGCGCATCTGCAGCATGACAGACCCTGACGGCTCAAAGGAGCTGTACGCGCGCGCCCAGGTGCGGCGCCCCGCCCGCCCAAGAGCGCCCGCAGTGGCTCCCGGCTGCAGGGACACCCCCTCGTGGGCGACTCATGGGCCAGTCCATCACCCTGCAGCTTGAGCTGCGTCACCCGCCCTCCGGCGCATGTGTATTGCACGCGCAGCACGAACCAAGGCCCCCACCCCGTACACACCTGCAACACAACCAAGAAACCCCGTGCTCAACGGCATGTCATCTATTCTCAGGTGAAGGACAAGACGCTGCGGCTGGTCAACACCTTCTGGCACATCCTGCCCAAGGAGCCCAGCAACGAGGCCGTCCTCTCGGAGGTGCTCTCCTGGATGAACGCACGCCTCGCGCCGCGCCCCGCGCCCGTCAAGGCGCTCGCCGCGGCGGCGCGCTGAGCGGCGGGCGTGGGGGTCGAAGGCGCTCGACTCCGCGGGCGGCGGGGCGCCTGAGATGTGGCTTCTGCCCTTGTGGGGGTGAGCTTGGGTCCCCATGCGGCCCCGAGGTGGGGAAGGTGGGCGGGCGCTGGCACACTGCGCCCGCCCGCAACTGACGTGGACTGTCTAGATGAAAGCGCAGCCGCAGGCGCCATTCGACACGACACGGCCTCCGCTTGCGCGCAGGCGCGTGTGTTTCCGTAAACTGAGCGCCAAGCAGGCTGTACTGCATTGCTATCTTGTGAGTCTTAGCTTTGAACGAGGTTCCCGCGAGATGGGGTGCCTCACAGATTTGCTGAGGGGTGCCGTGACCCCATCAACTCCCAACTTCATCAAGTGCGCGAGTGCCACGGGCCGCGGTGTGGTGGAGCAGTGATGCAGCGCCGCAAGGCCTTGCGTCGCCAGCCCCATCTTGCCGCCCGCCCACCCGCTCGTGCCCGGGCGAGGCTGCGGCGCGTGCTGCAATCCTGGTTTGCTCTACGCAGCCGGCGCCTCCCGCCAACCGCGCGCCTGTTGCTCTTTGCGGCGCTGTGAGACCGCCGGTCGTGTCTACCCCTGATCCTGTTGCCTACACCCTTCCAACGTGCAGCGGAGAGATTCTCAATGTTCCGCTAGCGCGTGCATCCACGGCTGCGCAGGTGCCAGGCCAGCCGCAAAGCGGGACTGGTGGAGCCTGCCGTTTTTGAGAGCTGTGCGGCGCCCTGCGCCCTTTTGCGGCCCCTCCCTTCGCACTTGTAAATACCTATCTGGCATGTCCCTGGTCACACCCGCACACGCAGTACCGTTGCACCCCGCTTGGAGACCGCTTGGATTGCAGCTGCTCAAGCACACCTGGATGACGACATAAGGTGGCAGCACGCGCATTCAACGCATAGCACAGCATCACACGAGAGACGTTGTTTCAGAATTCATAGGAACCAACGCACACCTCGTCGGCAAGATCTGGATCAGGAAGCGTTCAATTTTCGATTGGGGGCAATAGCTGCATGTGCAACTAGCTCATTTTACGGGCGGGCGCAGTGGCTTGTCCTGCATCGCGCCGCTGGTCCATCGCCTAGCTTTTCGCCGTACGCCGCACGGGCGAACACTGGAGTGCAGGTGTGGCACCGGCGGCGGTGCCGCACTGAAGCATGGAGGCGTCGAAGGACTCCGCGCGCTCGCGCTTCCGACAGCAGCGGCACAATGATCGCACACATCGGCGGAGGGGCGGCGGCGCCAGTACACGGCCATCCGAGCAGCGGCTAGAGCTCGAATCGAACGCAGACAGGCGAGTCACCTTGGTTCGTAAATTCTTCGAGCATCAAAGCACCCTGAATTTGAAGATTGTCGTTGTTCCAAGCAATTGCCAGTGCCATGCTTGCCCCGCCTGTGCAGCCCTGGCTCCTTCCCCCGCCTGGAGAGGCATCAACATGCGTATTACACGCGACCCTGGCACACGGAATGCCCACCTACCGTGCCGCACCCGCCCGGTCAAAACCCCGACGCCGCAGATACATCTCTGATGACGAGCTCGACGGCACAACCGCCGGCGACGAGGACGGCCCGCGGCCCCTGTCGCGCGGCGCTGACCTGGCGGCCCTCCTGCGCGACACCGAGCCGCTCTACGCGCAGTCGCACTACCGCCACCGCGCGCTGCTGCAGCCCGGCAGCGGCGACATGGCGGCGCCGGCGGACGCTGACGTGGCGGCGGCGGAGGGGCTGATGGCGCTGGACCTTCGGTCATTAGCCGAGAGCCTGGCGGCGCTTCCGATTGGGGAGCTGCTGGGGGTGAGGGACGAGTACGTATTGGAGGAGGGCGGCCTGGAATCGCCGGTGACCTGGGCAGCCGGCGCGGCCCCAGGCGCGGTGCAGGCAACGGCAGTGGCGGCGCCGGCGAAGCAGGCGCCTGCGCCGGGCGCCGGCGCGCTGCCGCCGGCACTGGCGGCCGCCGCCGCGGCGCGCTCGGCGGC